AAGGGAAATATATCCTACATCTCCTTCCTAGGTAGTGCTAAAGGTTCAGAACGATGCTGGGGGATGATACAGGCCATGCAGGAGACTGTGGTGTTGTGTAATCAGTAACTGCTCTGTGTCATAAATAAAATTTTATATATATAAATATATATATATGAATACAAGCATCTGAAACTTGAGTCCAGTGTTCTGTGTCTGGGCTTTTAAGTAACCTAAACCTGTTATCAACAATGTCAACATCTAAACTCTCACTGCTTTTGCCTTTTCTGTGCTATCTGCAGCAGCAGCATGAAGAAACTGAGATATCATTCACAATCTGTTAGAATAAGGAGATTTTGAAAGACTTCATTATTTTTTTTGTGTTAGGGTTGTATTTCTCTATGAAATGAACTCTTCTTAATTTCTGTCAACTTTAATGGTCAGTCAATGATCTTAAATATCTTTTCCAGCCAAAATGATTCTGTGATTCCATGAACTTGCTTACAGCCACATTCTGACGAAGATCAAGGAAGAAGTCGAACCAAATAAATGCTTTTGGGTGGTTTGATGTGAAGTGTGACACAGAAATGCTGTAGAGCTTTGCAAGGCTCTTTGCTGACAGAACAACTTGGGATGTGGTTCTGCATTTTAATTAGTCCCTGCAGTTATTAACTTTGTGTTAACTGTAGATGGAGGCGCACTTCTCGGCCAGTGCTTGGCCTTACCTGATGGAACGTTACATTCTCCATCTCCTGGCTGATGTGGACTCTCTCACCTCAGTTTTACAAAGATTTCAGCTCTTTCCACATGCTTTTAACGCCTCCTGGAGTCAGTGGCAGCAGGGAATAGGTTCCATCACAGGTGATGCCATCATTGTGACACTTTTTTTACAAAGGCAGTTCTGTCAAAAGTCACTCAGTCTTTGGTCAAGCACAAATTATCTCTGCCTGTTTGGGCTTTTTTGTTACTGTGCTTATAAAAGTCTTAAGACCTGGAAATCCTGCATGGTATCATGGAATCCCAGGTTGGAAGGGAGCTCAAGGATCATCTGGTCCAACCTTTCTTGGCAAAAGCCCGGCCTAGACAAGCTGGCCCCACACCTTCTGCAGCTGAGCTGTGACAATGCCCCGTGTTGGGGACTCCACCGCTTCCCTGGGGAGGGAATTCCCACGGCTGATTGTCCTCAGTGTGAAAACTCTGCCTGGGTGATAACGCTTGTTGTGTTCTCATCCCCTCTCCAGCAATAGGCAATGCTTTTGCTGTTCTGAGCAACCCGGAGAAACGGCTACGATACGACGAGTTTGGGAGTGACCACGAGCACGTCAGCACTGGCCAGGCCAGGCACTACGATTACTACACAGAATTTGAAGCTGACATTACACCAGAAGAAATATTCAATGTGTTTTTTGGTGGGCACTTTCCTACAGGTCAGTAACTGTCTGCGGTGGTTTTAAAATGCAGTGAACTGACACTGGACAAGAAAGGAAGTTCAGCTTCTCTTGTTCTCTTGGTACTGCTCAGGGAGATGATTATACATTTCAAAAGAGCAAATAGGTTTTGGCTTTTACTCTTTTCTCCCTTCCTGAGTTTTTATGCCTGGAAAAGCCCCCTTAATCATAGTCATCGAATGGTTTGGATTGGAAGGCACCTTAAAGATCATGGGCAGGGACACATCCCTTTAGAGCAGGTTGCTCCAAGCCACATCCAGCCTGGCCTTGAACACCTCCAGTGATGGAAGTGGTGTGAGTGGGAAGGGGTCAGAGGTATCTTTGCTGATGGTGCTGTGCTTGAGACACCTTAGCTGTGTGCAGTACCACATGGCAGCAGCTCCTGGTGTGGTGGTCACAGGGCCCCTATAATGAGGAAGACACAGGAGTTCATTGGTGTGTTTATGGTGCAGAAATTAGAACTTGTTAGCTTAGAAGGGTGGTGGTCTCTGGATATGGAGCATCCAGTAGCAGCCCAGTAGAACTGTGCCTGTAGCACCTCTGGGCATGTCTGTCCTCATTTGGCCTGTGTATTTCTAGTCAAAATAAAAAGATCCTGCAGGATCAGTGGAATTCAGGTCTGGATTAAAAATACATCCAAAAGAGATAGAATCATTAATGTTGGAAAAGACCTCTGAGATCATCAAGTCCAACCATCAACCCAATGCTACCGTGACCACTAACCCATGTCCACAAGTACCACATCCACACATTTTTTGAACCCCTCCAGGGCTGGGGACTCCACCACCTCCCTGGGCAGCCTGGGCCAATGCCTCACCACTCTGCCAGGAAAGAAAATATTCTCATATCCAATCCAAACCTCCCCTGGTGCAGCTGAAGCCCATTGCCTTTTGTCCTGTCACTGGTTACTTGGGAGAAGAGACCAAGCCCCACCTCACTCCAACCTCCTTTCAGGCAGTTGTAGAGAGCAATAAGGTCTCCACTCAGCCTCCTCTTCTCTGGACTAAACACCCCCAGGTCCCTCAGCTGCTCCTCACAAGCCATAGTCCCCAGACCCCTCACCAGCTTCGTTGCCCTTTGCTGGAATGAGTATGGTGGGCTCAAGGGTCTTCACAGTATCTGCAATTTAGTTCAGCACTCTGATAAACCTTCTCACCCCTGAGGCGTGGTGTAAAGCAGCACAAGCAGCCTAAACCCACAGCTACAGGTGATTACTGACAAGCTCCTCATAACCTTAGTCTGAGTGGTAGCATCTTGCAGCTCAGGGGACCTCAAATGGCTTTCAGAATTTGATCAGTAAATCATAGCATCCTTTTGGTTGGAAGAGACCTTTCAGTGCATCAAGTCCAACCATTCCTCCAGCACTGCCAGATCCCCACTGACCGTGTCCCTCAGCACCACATCTCCACAGCTTGGAAACCCCTCCAGGGATGGGGACTCCACCACTGCCCTGAGCAGCCTGGGACAGCCCTGGACAACCCTCAAGGCCAAGAAATTGTTCCTCAGCTCCAACCTAAACATCTCCTGGCACAACCTGAGGCCGAATGTGCAAAGTGAGGGAAGCTCAGCGTGGTGTAATCCTACACCAGGTTTGCAAGTTTTCCTTTTTAGACTGCAAGAAATCTCACCTGTGTGTGCCTTTTGCCTCAGCCACCAGTGACACATTCCCCTTGTGGAATGTGACCCTTTGTAGCTGTGGGCAACAGGGATGCTCAGGGTTCAGGGCAAGAGCTTGAGGAGCTGCGGGAGAAATTTTTTATTGTGCATTTTTCCTTTATGGATATTCAGTGGAAAAATATTAGAAGTTAAAATATTGGATGTCATAAGTGTAAGAAAAGACTCTCCATGTGGCTTACTGTTGCAGCTCTAATGGGTAAGGGCCACAAAGTGAACTTCAGTCTCATCAACAATAAATGCACATGGAAGGAAAGAAGCCACTTACAGGAAGTCTTTGAGAAACATAGGATTTGGGAAAAAAAAATTTCTAGGCAAAAGCCCATTCTTCTCAACCTACACTTGCTTCTGTTTTTTCACAGCTTGATAAAATGAATGATAAAATGATATGATAATGATAATGATAGAAACCAACTTTCTTTGTCAAGAAATTGTCCTCTGAGCCAGCCTCATTCCACTCTCTTGCTGGAGCTCTGGCTGCAAACCGCCCAGACCCTTGGAAAAAATCTTTGACCAAGCAATGAAACATGTTTGGACACCATAGCAAAGGTCACTGCTGCCCAGGTTTCTTGCAGAATTTTGGGGGAAATTCAGAGCAAGGACAGTACAAGTGTATAAAATAATGTGACATCTTTCCCAGGGCTTAAAAATAGATTTGTGTTTCTGTCGTCATGATTAGGCCATAAATTTCAATTCTCTACTACAGAGACATTCTGGATTTCCAAAGAGGAGAGCACAGCTATTATTAAGACACTTGTATGGTGATAAAATCAAAGTTTGAGCTTCAAATTGAAACAGCATGTGCAATTCTTCCATCATTTTAGCATTTTTAAAAATAAATTGACTACATTCAGTGTGCAGGAAAGGAAATCCAGAATTGTACTCCTTTTTCCACAGAAAGCTGGTTTTAAATCTTCTGACTTATTATAAAATCATTAAGTCAAACTATGGATAGCCTGAAGGAAGCAGAAATGAGTGTAGATGACCATATTCAGTAATTGTGGGCAGTGATAACTCATGGCCCGAGCCTGGCGATGCAGGTTCATTTTCCTGCCTAGCCCCGGGGGGTGCAACACAAGCCTTGGGCTTGCAAGTGAAGGGGACAAACCCAGTGTTAAAACTCGAGATGCAGCAGTAAAAATCCCAGCATGGTTCTGCATTTTTCTTTAAATTAAGATGGACTTTGGGCAAACATTACAATTGCTCTGGTGCGCTGTTTGGAACAATGGATTGTTTTGGTATTTAAATCCCAGGCGTGTTTGTGTGTTTTAATCTGAGTCTCACAAGCATTGTTCAGACCATGTAGTGTAAGCCTGGAAAATCACCATAAACCTGAAAAACACAGGCAGCTACCAGCAGCTGGATGAAAATCATTAGTCTCTCTTGGTTTCTTTTACCAGGAAATATCCACATGTTCTCAAATGTATCCAGAGATGCACACTATTATCCACGGAGGCACCGAAATGAGCGAGTGTGGACACAGGAGCAGGAGGAAGAAGAGAACAGACCACAGGTAGCCAGGAGGAGCGATCTTGTGGGATTAAATGTTTTCACCAGGGTTGAGGGGTCCACTTAGAAGCCAGGACAGACCTTCCCATCCTTAAATACTCAGGGTTTATCCTCAAGTGCTGCAGCCAAAATGGATGTTTTCAAAAGTAACTAGATTGTCTCTTATTAATTACTGTTTTAAGAATACATTATATTGGTAGGATTACAGGCCCTGGAGTTTCTGTCACTTTGTGTTTAGAGCTTGCAAAAAGCAAGCACCAGCAAATGGTTTGGTAATCCAATAACAATTAGTCTGAAAAAAGCCTAAATAGCTGCAGATTATATTTTGCTCCTGATTAAAAAAAAATCATCTTATTAGAAATAAAGAGCAGAAGTTGTGTATTTTCTCTTTGATCTTTTTTTCCACTCTTTTATTCAATTAAATTCACTCAATAAAAAACCCCCATTCTCAAGCTACACTACAGATGATCACAACCTTTTGCTTTTCAGCTGTTTTATCCAGTGTTTGAACAGAGCTAGAGATTCTCAGAAGGCACGTAGCAAGCTTCAGAAGGTGCACAGAAAGCCACAGGCATGCAGGAGAATCACAGTCTGTCCTCCAGTTCAGCCCATCTGCTGGTCACCAACAGGCAGGGTGCTGAGGGCATCTATCACCTTGTGAAGGAAGCTGTGGCTGAAAGAAATGCCATCAAAATATAACCGAAAGAAAATGGTTTTCAAGAGCATTTTGATAAAACTGCTAACTGATAAAGGTTATTTTGGAGCTATGACATCCCCCTCAAAATTCAAAAGTATTTTCTCTTTTTCTTTTCAGCCTGCATTTAATACACTGTTGATCTGTGACATAGCCTTGTTTCTGTGAATATCCTTTTCCATCTGTGTTTTTCTTGACTGCTAATTATTGTTCTTCTTTTCAGAATTCATATTCTGCATTTATTCAGCTGATGCCCGTTTTCATAATAATAATAGTGTCAGTTATAACTCAGCTGATGGCCACAAACCCACCCTACAGCCTGTTCTACAAATCGTAAGTCGCTTAAAGCCACCTTTTTCTGCTCTTCCCTTTTGCAATGAGGAGGTGGGCGGGAAGTTGGACTTGATAGCAAAATGCCTGTCAGAGTTCTTTCTAGAAAGTGTAATCCATTTGTAAATAAGGAAACACCAGCAGCCTCTGCTGACGAGCTCTCCTGCAATTGTCACTCTGAAGTTAACTGTGGTGAGCTTTATTGTACCGTGTGCTGAACAAATAGAGGCACTGAGCCAGGAAGCTTTCTTAACTGCTGTGAAATGTTTTTGCACAGTGATACAGTACCAGGAATGTGGGTGTAGCTCAGCTACAGTGCTGGTCAGCCTCTGGTCTGCCCAGCCCCCAGGCATCTGTGGTCCACCACTGAGGTTCCTACATCAAGGAATTAAAAAATGAAGCCTGAGGTTTGCAGTTCCACTGGAAGAATTGTCAAGCTCCCCATGTCATTAATGCCGTTAAATGCCTTGGTTTAAAACCTGTAAAGAAGCAGGACCCTGAGACTGCAGAGGGGAAACTGAACTGGTTAGCTCTGGAAGCAGAAGGAACACCACCAAAGCTGCTGTCCTCTGCGTTCGTGGGGCTGAGGAAAACCCACTGGCTCCTGTCAGCATCCCATGTTGGGAGGAGGGAAGTTCTCCAGCAGGGAAGAGTGGGGTTCAGTCATCTCCACTGGCTCTGGCTGGGATGGGAGCGGGAGCCTGCATGTTTTGGAGATCCAAACACTCCCCTTGCTCCTAGAATCAAAACTCTGGGTCCTCTCAGCTGTCACAGCAGCCCAACACCCTTTATTGCTTTTTACCACAAGGTGTCACTCTGGAGACGTGGCATAAGAACACGAGGGTGGTTGTTTTTTGGGTGTTGTGGTTTGGGTTGGTTTTTTTTTTTTTGTTTCGAGAGTGTTGTTGCTATCTGCCAGTCACATGTGAAACCTCCCTCGCTACCCCTAGAGCAGCTAATCTTTTCTGCTTTTCTTCACTCCCTCCCCTTGTCCTGCTGGTTGGAGGTAGTCGAGCGTGAGCCAGGGACATGGTTATGCTGTTTCTCTAAATCCTTCAAAAGACTAACAGCCTAAAAATGAAAAGAAATTGTTTTTATAAAGAGAGTACACCTCTGAGACATGGTGAGAGAGAAGGAAGAGAGGAGTCCAAGAAGGAGAAGGGGCAAATTGGATTCTGTTGAGTGTAACCTTTGTGTTTTGGCTGCCTGCCTCTTTCTCTGGGCAGTGATTTGAAAAAATGCCTGGGTGCCTGTGCTCAAATAAGGAAATTGAGAGTGTAGTTGAATCCAGTGGCCATATCAGACTGGCTGATTCCACCTACAGTGTATTCTTTGGGATATTCCATGCCCCACATCATTACTGACTTGTCATAAAACCCTAAAGGAAAGTAACTCTAATCTCCCCTGCTAATTCCATAGAATCATGGAATCATTTTGGCTGAAGAGACCCTTAAGACCATAGGGTCCAACCGTTCCCCCAGCACTGCCAGATCCCCACTGACCCGTGTCCCTCAGCACCACATCTCCACGGCTTGGAAACCCCTCCAGGGATGAGGACTTCACCACTGCCCTCGGCAGACTGGGCCAATTTTTATTTTTACTACAGGATCCAGAAATGGGGAAAATCCAGATCAAATTGCATTGTGTCCTAAGCAATACTAGGCCATGTGCCTTTAATCCCTACATTTGTTACCAATTCCCATGGATTTTTAGACCTAGCCTGCCAGAAATTACTAGCAAACAGAAGAAAGTGGGTGAAGCTTCTGTTCACAGATAAAAATTTAATGTTTTGGAAGTGTCTTGATTGACCCGTTGAGAACAGCCACAGTATTTGGAAGGAACAGTGTCAGTGTGAAGTCTGTTCTTTTTGGATATCTCCAAATATTAGGTATTTTCCTGTGGTTTTTAGCAGGGGTGGAGTGTGTGAATCCTCTTTGTAGTGCACAGCTTGCCATGCCTGAGACTTGTAATTGCCTTACTGGATGGTTGAGGGAGCTATAATCTTGCAGAAAGTAACTGTAAAGAAGCTGTTGTAAATACTGTCCTCTGGAAATGCTAACATGGAGAAACATCTCTTGACTTCTTTATAACTGAACTGCTAAAAAATGTGTTTCCTCCTTGATGTTTTCACAGCTCCATAGGCCATGTTATTAGTAGAGAAACGGAGAACTTGCAGGTGCCTTACTATGTTGATAAAAACTTTGAGAGGAATTATCAAGGAGCAGAACTCCAAGAGCTAGAGAAAACCGTTGAAAAAGATTACATAGACTATATTCAGACCAGCTGCTGGAAGGAGAAACAGCAAAGTAAGTTATTTTTGGTACCAGCGTGTGCCTATGACCCATCAGTAGCTGTGCAGTGGCTGGGCTGCACAAAGCACTGCCAGTTTTAGCCCCAGTTTCTGATCCTTATCACATCTTACCCTGATATTTCTCACACCTGCTCTTCACGCTGAATTTGCTGTTCTTGAGGGTCTGAGAAAATTAATTTTAGGTCCTTCTGAGAGGCAAGTGGAAAATAGATTTCACCAGTTGAGACTTCTTTCCTCTTGTTTTTTATGCTTGAATAACTCGTAGTGATGATGTTTTAAACGTGTAATCCACGTGTTACCTAGCTCCAACAGATTGTTAGGGCTAGAAAAGATCTTGAGACATCATCTATTCCATGTTTCCTTTGCTGGAACAGAATCATTTTTGCTTATTTTAAGTTTTTCTTCCAAACCTCCTCAGAAGGAGAGTCTGTGGCCTATCCAGGTGCTCTTGGTAATCTTGCAGTTTTACTGGTATTGGCTTTCAGAGCGTGCTTCTGTGCCTGTTTTGTCACTTATTTGCATTTTCTATCTTTAGATGAGTTTGAGATCATGTTTTTCAACATAGTCAAGATTGTCTTTTAAAAACAAGAATTGAACACAGGAAGGGAGAACACAAAAGCATGAGCATTTAAAGTCCTTCTTCTCACATCAGTCCTAAGTCAGTGAGTGGCTGGGATAACTGGAATGTCTTTTTACCCCATATTGTATTAGTTAATTACTGCTCCTCTGGCTCACTGAAAATAGAGCAAATCCCTGCTCGTTTAGGAGCTGCACAAAATAACAGAAGCCAAATGACAAGGACTAGCTGAAGTTGGGATGTTGGGAAGGATTTTTCTCTCAGAGCTCACCACCTTCAAAGGAGTAAACACAAACAACTGCTGTGCACAAAAGAAACTGCAAGAAGCTGCTTCTGTGTCAATGTTTAATAGTGGCAGGCGAGCTGTTTTCACACACTAGTGGGGCTTTCTAAATTGCTTCATGCAAACCAGTCCTCAGCATGCTGCTACAAACTGTGTAATTTTTTACTGTTTCTTTACCAATTGCATCCTGACAGAACCCTACACGTTGTCTAACCAAGGCTTGTTTAATCCCCGGCTAGAGGTAACCATAGTGTCACAGACTCCAAACTGTTGCCAGGTTTTTGTTTTGGTTTATTTTACGTAACACTTACCCATCTTAAAAAAGAAAAGAATCTGTAACTGGAGACCATAAAAATTCCAACCAATCCTTTAGGTTTTGTTGGGATTCACTTGTGATTTCCGAGCATCTGTGGCTGGCAGTAGCAGCCTCTAGGTAGGACATGGCTGTTGTTAACTCTTAAATGTAGCTTTGTTACAGGGGCAGGATTTATTTCTTACAGAAAAATCCTTTTTTAACTGCCTTGTGCAACTGAAAGTCACCTTATTGGCTCTGCCACATAGACCTTGAGCTAAGGAGTGCCCTGCCCCAAAAAGGGCAATGGGCTTTGCAAGTCTGAGAGAGGCTGATAGAGAGGGGGAGATGATCCAGCACTGGATGCCAAGTAATGCCCGTGAAACAGGGCTCCTCAGGAGCATGTCACACTGAGAGACTTCATTAGTCACACATCTGCAAATGGGTTTACAAGGCCCACAGTTAGCAGCAGCCTGAGGAGACTGCTGTAATTATAAAAAAAAACATTTTTCAGAATGATTACCATCTAGGCCAGCGAGCAGGTAATGATCCCCATGGAGACTGTGCTGACTTCAGTCCAGCCAGGTTTGTAAAAATCAACAGAGAATGTGAGATGGAGTGCCGGGGAGAAGTTCTCTGGAGGCTCCTTGTTGAGGCAGTTCTGAGTCAGCTGTTGCTTCATAAATTCGTAACTCATCCATTAATTCTTGTTTAAGTGTTTAACTTCGTGGTTATTTTTTTTGTCAGTGACGCATCTGTTAATAATAAGTTTCTTTTGTTTGCTGAAGGTGCATTTCTCTTCAGCACCAGCAAAGGGGACATAGATTAATTATGTAGGAACAGACTGATTTTTAAAATCTTTGATTTTATGACTCAAAGCATTACCTGGTGTCCCACTACCTCAAGTACAAAAATTACATCGCAGGTTTTTACAGGAGGCTGCTCAGCTGTGAGAGCACAGTTGTAAAGTGAGGCTGCAAAGAGTTCTGAGTTGTAGAAAATAGCAAAGAGGCAACTGAAAACAGAGGAAAATAAGGATATGTAGTTGGAATTTGTTCATTTAGGACTGCCTTAAAGAGCAAAAAGTTCAAAACTCTATGTACAAGATTGGAAAACACAAGAAACGGATGCGACGATGAATGCTGCCAAAAGTGCAAGTGTTTGCAATGAATAATTTTGCCCAGTTGGAGAATTATAAATTGAGAATCTCCACTGCAGAACTCCAGGGACTCTGGACTCAGAGACAATTACCCGAGTCAAGTTTTGCTGAAGGCTTGTCAAGGCTATGAGCACTATTTGAGTGGCATTTTAGGTATAAAAGCTGCAAATTGATTCGTGATCTGAAATAAAATGTTCATGCTTGTCAGTTTGTAAAGCTTTTCAATAAATAGGTGGAGGGTTAAATGGCTTTGCATTTCAGGGACAGAGGTTGTAAGGTATGAAAGGACCTACTGAAGTTCTTTCCACTCTGAATAATGCAGTAAAATGAAGGACTTGTAAGGTGTATAAAAGCCCTTTGAAAAATTGAGTGTCATCAGGTAGCCTGTGCTTAGGGAAATTTTGACCTTTTCAGAAACAAATTACTGCTTTTCTCTTAGGTGCATCTAATCCTGGATCTAAATTATTCTTCAGGGAGAAAGCTATATTAAGACTTCCTTAGCTAATCAGCAAAAGAAAGTTCTTTGAATTACTGGGGGGGATAACTATGAATTACTGGTGGGGAGGAATAATTTAAACAATGGGATTATTTCAGTTTTATGTTGCTTTTTAGAAGAAGGGAGAAAATATGCAAAGTACTTTTGAGATTGTGTGGTTAATGAAAGGGCACAGGGGCCTTTCAGACAAGTCCCTTAGGTAGCTGTTCACCTTCCTCTAATCAATATAAAATTAAAAGAATTTATAGTGCCTTCTGGACAAACTTCTTGCCAGACAGAGTTTGAATTCTGAGAAGCTCAGAATCATAAAACCCAATTATCTCTACCTTGAAGTACATGTTTGGATGGGTGCTCTGGGCCCGTGCAGCATGGCTGTGCCAGCAGACCTGCATTTCTCAGCGACCGTGGGCAGGGGAGAGCATCTCGTAGTTCCTGCTTCTCCAGCAGCAGGCAGCTGACACGGCCCCAAGGCAGCGACTGGGAAAGCAGAAGGGAGGCTCCCTGTCCTCTGGTTGTCACTTTAAAACTGCACATGGGTGGGGAGTGACCCCCTGTGCCTGGGGATACCTCAGTGAGGACCAAATACAGACCAAGTGGTATCCTACTAGCCCCTCTTTATGCTGTTTGTTTAAGTATATACATATATTTTCAAGCAATCACCTATTCTTTCAATCATTAACATAATTTTAAATCTTAGATGACTCCTAAGCTATAGTTTTGTAGTTTGTGTTTTTTTTGTAGACAGCAATAATCAGTCTTCACACAATCCCAACACGGGGGGGGGTTGGAAGGACTGCTGGGGATCACCTCATCCAACCCCCTTCTCCAGCAGGGTGCCCAGGATGCCATCCAGGCAGGTTTGTAGTCTCTCCAGAGAAGGAGACTCAGTTTTAGGCTTTTTGGTTTGGTTATTGTCCTACTAGTGCATTGCTGGAGTGGGTTATTATAACTATTAGAGTTCTCAGGCAATTACAAAACTAGCATTTTCTTAAAGAGCCAGCCTGCTTAATCCTGGTGGCCTCTCCTTAAAGCAGTTAACATGCCCAGTTTCACTGAAAGAAGATGAATTAAAAACAAACAAACAAACAAACAAAAAAAACATGCCACAAGGATAACAAAGCACTGAGAAACAGTTATTTAAAGTAGGCTCAAGGCTTCATCCTAATAATAGTCTTTTTTTTTTTTCATCTTTCAGAGTCTGATTTGTCCAATTTGGCCAAGCTATACCGAGACGAGCGGTTAAAACAGAAAGCGGAATCCCTGAAACTTGAGCACTGTGAGAAGCTCTCCAGTCTGATTGGAATGCACAAAGGAGGCTGACGAGGACACACACGTCCTGTAGTATTTATTTATTGCTGTTTTAACTTATGTTTTTATTTTCCTTTGTATAAAAAGGGAAGGAGTCTATTGTAAAGAGTCAGAATATTCGAGTCCTTCTGCATGTAGTGCAGAGAAGGGGCCAACACGAGCTGTAGAGCTGGTGTCTGCTGTAATATAGACTGTACACACTGTACTGGGTTCCAGGGACCAGTGGCACTTTGTAAATGAATCCCCTGGGGAACGCCGTTAGCTCGGCAGCCGTCTCCATCGGTAGCCTGTCTGCCACCCAGGCGGGAGAGACAGCCACGTGCAGATCCCTCCCGGGAGGGCAGAGCGGCGCCTTCGCTTTCTGTGCTTTGTCAGGAGCTGCCGTCGCCCATCGCACGTCCTTGCTTCTGCGTGGTGCTGGTGGTGGTGGTGGTGGCCTTCCTGTGCAAGTGTGACGTCCGGTGCTTGGTTCGGAAGAGGCAGGTACCTGCTTCAGGTAGGCACCCAAGCGGGCTCCCAGCTGTCCCCAGTGTCACGTACCATAACCCCGTGCTGGTCTGAGGACCATGGGACGTAACTCTGCGGTGGTCTGTGGACCATGGGACGTAAGCCTGTGCTGGTCTGAGGACCATGGAATGTAGTTCTGTTCTGGTCTGACTGGAGGGCCATGGGACATAGCTCTGCTGGTGTGAGGACTATGGGATGTAACCCTGTGGTGGTCTGAGGACCATGGAATGTAACCTCTTGCTGGTCTGACTGAGGAGCATGGAACGTAACCCCATCCTTGTCGAGCGGGGGGGCCATGAATCATAACCCCTGTCCTTGTCCAACTGGAGGACCACGGAACGCAACCCCGTCCTTGTCCAACTGGAGGAGCATGGGCTGTAGCCCCGTCCTTGGCTGCCTGAGGGCTGTGCCTGTTCTGTGTTGACACAACACGCTGCGATGCCACCAGTGACATCAAACAAGAAGATGAGAGATGGTGAATTGCACCAATTCCACCAAACCATAGAGAAAGGACAACTGTATTTATTTTCTCATCTGTTTTCAGTGGCATATTTTTAAGCTGGCTGTTTAATTCTGTTTTTTTATCTGCAAACTCTTCTCCAGCTGTTACAGGGGTCCTGCTTTTCCTCGTACAGTTTGATGCAGCATATTTTTACTCTGTCAAGCAGTTATGAATGTTTCAAAGTTAGTACTGCAAAGAAAAAGCTCCGTGTAGTAGTGTCCTGTTTTTTCTTGAGCCTCCTTTATGAAACCAGACATTTAGAGGTAGGTTGAGGATAGGTTGTACTGGTCAGCCATGGAGAACAGAGTGGTACTCTGGTGGAACATTGTTCCTCCCCTGAGCTGGTTTCTCTGGTGGTGGGGTGCTGCGGATGTGTGCCACAAGTGGAATGAACACTTCTTATAAAGTCCATCCTTCCCTCCTGCCCTGCGTGGGGACTCGGTCCAGTGTGGAAGCACATGTCTATTAAAACCGGTTTCTGTAGCTGCTCCCAGCCCTAGAACTCACTTTGAGTAGCACAGGGTGGCCCTGGTTTAAATCTAGGGAGCAAAGTACTCAAAAGTTTGAGAAGTGCCACAATTAAAATTGCCTGTAAAGCTCAGATGTCAAGTCTCCGTGCACCTGGGCATTGCTGTGGGTGTCCCATCAGCATAGTGGCACGAGATGGCTGGGACCACAGGTCCCACAACATGTCCCCTTGGTGTCCCTGTCCCCTCCGTTGGCGGTGGGAGGTCAGGCAGCAAGCGAAGCGGGGACCTGCACGAGAGAAGCTTTTCTCCCCCAGAGCCCAGGGGGTTTGGAGACCTGGTGCTTCTGCCAGCGAGATGTACACACCCCGTATATAATGAGACCACCACAACTACAGCAATGCTGCTGTGAAATGGTGGTGTGTTAAAATAAAAAAACAACATAGTGACTCCTTAAAAATCATATTTTAACATTTGTTCCCCATTGGGGAAACTTCCATCAGACCGTGTAGGAAAGTTAAGCAGAGTTTGTCACCACTGGGCATGGGAAAAGCACTATAAAAAAAGGCATTTAGAAGAGATTGTTGTGAAACAACTTGAGCGTGAGAGTCTGAGGGCAAAAAAAGTGTCATTTTTCTAAATGGGTAACATGGCTGGCAGTCAGGTGGCCTTAATTTTGCAATTTCCCAGTTTTGAGCACATAATATGAGTGTAAAAAAACCTAAATTCTTTTAATGTTGCTTTTTATATATTAAATAATTTGTAGGATATATTTGAAAGCTATTGAAGTGGTTGGACTTTGTTCCAGGTTTGGTGGCTTCCCTGTTTGACTCCCTTGGCTATGGAGGTGGGGAGACCAAACATGATGGCTTTACTGGACCTGTGTATGGAGGTTGAGTTCTTTGATAGCATTTTGCACTTCAAATAGGTCACACTTTTCATCCAAAGATCTCAAAGTGTTTTATGGGAGACCTCCTGTGAGCAGCACAATCATTTTAAGAGTCTTCTCCACAACCAGAAGAAGGGCCAGGATGGTGGGACTGGAAGGTAAAAATAATTCAAGAAGCAATAAGTTGTTCTTTGTTCCTAATTGCAGGCAGGGGTGTTACGGATGGCTGTTGGTGTGTTGTGTGCTGTGAATAAAGGACATTTGGCTCTAAAATGTCTTCAGTGAAAAAAAACAAGAACATCTTGCCCCAAAATGCTGGCATCCTACTCAGCAAGTTAAAAAAAAGGAAAATCTTATATTGTGCTCATGGCTATCAAAATGCATCGTGGTCATTAACTAAAGGTTACTTGCCACTAGGCAATTGACTTTGAAATATTTCTTGGGTCTGGGAAAGAGAAAAAGGTGTTTTCTGAGCAGACCTGGATTGCTCGGGGCCAGCACCCAGGGCTGCCCTATCCGTGGGTGCCCCCGTCTCTTGGAGAGTACTTGCAAATGGTTTTGTATAGACGTGTATATATACTTTTTTCTTTTTTCTTTTTTTTTTTAAATGGGAGACTTGACCTCCGTGTGCCTATCTGTCCCTCGGAGCCAGCCCAAGACCTCAAGGAGCCCGCGGGTCGTTTGTGGCGCGCAAAATGGCGGCACGGCGGCGTCCGCGGGGGCGGGCACCGACCGAGCCGCCT